AACAGCATGCTATAGTATAAGACCATTTGATTTATTCCCTAAACAATGTATTATGAAGAGCCTCCCATTCCAGCAAATAAAAAGCTGATCATTTTTCTTGATGTATCCATTAATTCCATTAGTTATGTGTCAATGGGAAGTTGCTCCAATCTTTTGCTATTACAAACACTTATTTAAAGAATAGCCTTGTATATGCATCATTAATTCATACCAATATAACTGTAGTGTATTCTCTTAGAAGTAGAATTTCTAGTTCAATGATAAGCACATTAATTTTTTTGAGGTGTGACTGATACACACGAAACTGCACGTAATTAAAGTGTACTGTTTACCCCTGTTTTGATGTATACAGTGTGATACCAAGGACCAAGTAAAGATAATGAACATCTCAATAACCACACAATATTCCTTCATGATCTTTTGTAATTTCTCCCTTCCAGCATTCCATCTTCCATGCCCTTTGTCCATGGGAAAACACTCATCTATCTTTTGTCTACACATTAGCAATTCCTAGAATTTCACATAAAGAATAATACATTATGTAGGTCTTTTGTGTAGTTTCTCTCAGCATAGTTATAGTGAAATTCATCCATATTGTAGTGTGTACTATTTTTATGTGTGAGTGGTAGTCCATTATGTGTGTTTACTACAATTTATTCCTATACCCACTAAATGGAAATTTGAGTTGTTTCTACATTGTGGTTATTACAAATAAAGCTTCTCTGAACATTAATGTGCAAGTCTTTATATGACATGTGTTTTCATTTCTTTATTGATGTAGGAGGGTAAGATTTAGATCATATGGTTGGTGGATGTGTAATTTAAGAAATTATCATGTTACCCTCATACATATGCTTGAAAGTTCCAGTTGCTTAACATCCTCCCCAGCACTATTTAATTACTTAATTCTAACTGTTCTAATAGGCCTATAGCAATATCCTATTGTGGTTTTAATTTGTGTTTCCCTGAGGATGATGTTGAACTTATTTTTTCACGTGCTTCTTATGCATACAAGAACTGGGGTACAGGCCAGAGGTGTGGGAGGATTCACCAGAGACAGAGTGGGGAGCAGATCAGGCAGACTGATGGAAATACACTGCTGAGGGGAGCAGCAGACGAGTCAAGAGAGGTCTGCTGTGCCATGTGGGTAGCTCCCTTGCCAGGGATTGAACTCGCACTGCAGTGGCTGTGGCCTAGCTTCATAGGTTGCACCACCAGAGAGGCCCTCCATATCATTTTAGGTGAAGTAGCTATTTAACCTTTTGACAATTTTTTTTTTTAATTGGGGGAGTGTGTGTGTGTTTGTGTGTGTGTGTGTGTGTGTATATTTAACGAGTTTGGAGCATTCTTTATATACTCTAGATAAAATCTTTTATAAAACAAGGTATTTTCCCATGTTGCCTCTCCATGTGTGATTATTCTTTTTACTCTCTTAACAGTATATTTTGAAGAGGAGACATTTTAATGTCGATCAGTCAATTTATTAATGTATTTTATATGGATTCTGCTTTTGTTCTGGAAAAAAAAAATGTTCTGCTTTTGTTAGGCAAAATTTTTTTGCCTAAAGCTAATACACACTACAGTATGTTTTGTCCTGTTTTCTTCCATAAGTTTTATTTTTATATTTTCTCTCTAGGTGTGTGATCCACTTTAAGATGTTTTCCTTGTATTTATTGTGAGATGTGAGTCAAAGTTAATTTTTTTTCAAATGGTTATCTAATTACTTTTTTTTCAATTTTTGAAGTCTACCTTTTCTTTACCAAATTATCTGCAATTTTGTTGAAAACAGGTTGTCTGTATGTACATGTATGTCTATTTCTTAATTCTGATCTTACTGCTAAATACTCAGATTTAGTTGTAATCTAAAAAATATATCACCACAATTTTTAAAAGTAAATAATGGCAGAAATGGTAGATCCTGGGCAAGTGAGATAAGAAAATGCTTACTTCTGAGGTAATTTTTTCTTTTCATGTAAAATGGGGTTTATTGCCTGAATTGTGTCCCCCACTCTGAAATTCATATATTGAAGCTCTAACACCCAATGAGATGGTATATGAAGATAAAGCACTTAGGGATGTAGTTAGGTAAAATACGGTCAGAAAGATGAAGTCCTCATCTGTGAAGACTAGCATTAGAAGAGAAATCAGAGAAGAGAAATCAGAGAAGTCTCTTGCCCAGGGTGTATATTAGGAAAGATATGTGAGGGCACAGCAAGAAGGCAGCCTATTCAAACCAGGAAGAGAAGGCTCACCAGAAACAACCGTGGTGACACCTTCATCATGGACTTCTGGCCTCCACGACTGTGATAAAACAAACGTCTTGTATAAGCTACAGAGTCTAGGTATTTTGTTATGGCAGCCCCAGGAGAAAAACACAGTGGCATGTGAGAAGCTCTTGAGAAACTTGAAATTGGAAAACCTGACTCTCTATTGAACATGTCTGTGTTGACTTACTTCCACTAACTGGAACACTACAATGCAGAGGAAAAAGGCTGCCACAGTCCCTTTGAATGATGATAATTTTTGTTGTTTTACATATCTGACAACATTTTAATTGCTCCAGATCAGTCCTTTGAGAACAGAAGGGGAAAGTGGCTTGATGTGTTGCTTTCTAGAAGAACTTAGAGCTTGCTGAGTACAAATATATTATTACTAGAGGAAATGTGAATAGCTTAATGAGAGTATAGTGTAGAATCACCTCTGAAAACAAGCAAATTAAAATTTAAGATTGTAATATCAAAAAAGGAAGATGGATTAACTTTGAGGTAATATAGCAGAGACAAGTGATTTTACATTAATACAGTCACAATGAAAAACTTGTTGCTTGATAAAAAGAATCCAAGGTTGCTGAGAGTTTATAATATAAAAGAACACTGTATACAAGAAATTTCAAATTAAAGTCAACTATTGTAAATATAACAGTCAACTGTGGATGTGAAAAATTCACTCTGCTGAAGGCTATGGAAAGGATTTTTAAAAGGGATGGATTGAATTTGCTCTGGTCTTTGAAAGTAGCACTTAAGAATGTAGATTTGGCAGAAGGACCATCACAGGCAGTGGAAAGAGCTTGGGTTGACAAAAGCCACCAGAAAAACAAAAAACCAAACCAAACAAAAACAAACACCAAGCCTCAGGAAACTGGTGACTAGAGAAATGAGGTGTTGAAGAACAAGCAGGGTGGAGAAAACCCTACAGAGCCTTTAAAAGCTACAAACTCTATATTTAGATTACATTTTCTGAAGCATTACAGAATCACAGCAACACCATTCTCTGAAAGCAGAAGACACATTTTCTATAAGGCGCTATATTTATCTTTGACACCTTCTTTCCCATGTATTTATGTATGAAGTACCTACTACCCACCTGGGGAGAAAATGTCCCTGTATACTAGGACCTGGGCTCTAATGAAGGAAAGTAAATGAACAAATAACTACTATGATCTATTCATGGCAAAATCTATCTTTATGTGGCACTAGCCAAACAGGAAGTCAGTAGTTAATCCATTTGTGCTCAAATCACACATTAAATTAAAACAATATCAATTCAAATATAAATCTGAGTAACTGTAAATGGAGTACAGAATCAGGGCCTGAACTTTGCTTTCTTCTTGCATGGGGGCTCCTAAGTGAATCTGGCTTAAATATTCTTTCAACAGTCTTGAAATTCTTAACAATCTATGTGCATTTTAGTTTTGGAAGTGAAGTTCAGCAACTGTGGGATAGACGCCAAGGTCTGTCCTTAGGTCAAGTGTGGTTCTGAACTTCACATTTTCCCTGGGAGTTCTCACTTCCCACTCCACTGTGTCTTCCCTGAGTTTTATGGCAGGGGTCCCAAGTACCTGGGAGGGTCTGCACTTGACAATGGAATACCACATAAACTACCAAATTAAACACCCATGACATCTGGAGAAATACTACAAAAGAAAACCTGAATACACTGAAGATCTCAGAGGCCCCCATCCCTATTTGGACCAGCAAGAGCGCAAAACCATTTCCAGAGGTTTAATATCAGAACAAGCTCTGTTCTGTGAAGAAGTCATGTAAGAACCTGATGGCTGTGGGAAAACCACCACTTATAACCAAGGAGTCTGCTAAGGAAGATTTTCACAGTGGGTTCTGGCTTTTGCATCTCCAGGGTGTAGTCTTTAGAAGTTAGGAGAATTATAAAACCCTTAGCCCTCTTCAGCATATAGATCACATACTACTTTAGGGTGAGATTAACTTGGGCAATCGAAAAATCTAAATTTATAAAAGAAAACCAAAATCCTGCCCTCACTCCCATCCCCATCCCATTGAGAATAATTACATTTTTACCATCAAGACTCAACTGTCCTTTTTGTCCTTCTTGAGGTACACTACTCTGTAACAAGGTATATAAATCGAACTCAAATTCCGAATTGAAGAAGTAGTTCCCAGCTTCCTGGGTTGGAATCTTCACCTTGATTACCTAATAAACGCTGCATCTAACCATTTTTTAGACTTCAGTTTAAAACCTGGAAACAACCCAAATGCCCAAAAATAGATGGACTGGATCAAGAAGATGTGGCATATATACACAATGGAATATTATTCAGCAATCAAAAAAGATAAACTCATGCCATTCACAGCAACGTGAATGGAACTAGAAGGAATTACACTCAGTGAAATAAGCCAGAAGGAAAAAGAAAAATATCAGATGGTTTTACTTACAGCAGGAATATAGGGGAACCCAATAAGACATCAGTGTAAAAAATAATAACAGTACAAAACACAACAAAGCAAAAAGGGACAATTATAAATCAGAGACATACTGCAGGGGAGGAGGAGGGAGAGGGATCAGAGGGAGAAAGGAGCACAGGGGACTGAGGTGACGGTGCACAGGTGCCTTGGGGAAGGAAACTCTATGGGGACTACACCTGAGGGGGTGGGGGGAAGCAAATATTGTTTAAAAATGAACAATGATGTAAAAAATAAAAATATTAATATTAAATTAAAAATGGAAAAAAAGAGGAATCTTTTTACCGCTTTTTGAATGAGGGCTCCTGCATTTTCATTTTGCACTGGGACCTGCATTTTATGCAGCCAGTCCCAGCTCCTGCAACAGTGGAGACAGTCCCAGCCCTTAACTCTGGCCAAGACATTAGACTCCTTTGAAGTCCATTTCCACATCTGTAAGAGAAGAAAAATAGTTCCTATCTCATTGAATTTCCTGAAAAATTTGGAGATAATTGATGCCCCATCATTTGAGTCATGTTAACACTCAAAACTACAAGCGTTACCTTGTAATACATTATCTGAGACTCTCCCTCAGGTCTCCTCTGCCTATAGGCTAGTACTTCCAAAGAGCCATTCTCGCAGGCACCTGCAAAACAAGGTGTATCTTGGTTTTGCTTTAAATGTTCACTATGTAAATTTAAACCTGACGGTGAGCAGGGAAATGAGCCCACGTCTTTTATATATACATATATATATGTATATATATGAGATACCGGAATTGTCAGGCCTAGTGTCCCAGCCAGGAACAGATCCCAGGCTGCAGGGGCAGTGCTGAGTCCCAGCCACTAGGCCACCACGGGATGGTGTCTCACGAAGCCGCAGCAGGAACTTCACAGACTCTCAGGCAAGCAAGCGAGAAGAGGCAGGTTTGTTTAGATTTTGAGGAGAAAAGGAACAGAAATAAAAAGGGACTCCCAGGCCATGAAACCAGGCCTGGGAGGGGCAAGGAAGCCAAAGTGGAGTCGTGTCTCAGGGAATATATATCTTCTTTCCCTAATTATTCTAAAGCTCCACCAGTCTCTTTGTGATTGGTTAGTTCTCGGCTGTTCCACTTAATTTGCTTACTGACCGGGGGATCTTCACATTCCTTATCTAACAGGTTTGTCTTTCCCCCATTTATTGCATCTTTATCTTTATGGCCCAGTCCTCTGGATGAGCATCCCTGCATTGAAGTTAAACAGCTGCCCTTCTAATTTGTCCATAAATTAAACCACTCTCTATTTCTCCAATCTCTGCCTCCCTTTACCACCTGAAGGAAACCAAGGCCAGCTTTAACAATGTTGTCCTTGGATGTTTGTTTTTCCAGGTGGAATTAGTTACATTCCTCTTGCTGCCCTCATCTCTGAAGCCTTCCTGAATTCTCCGAGGTCCCCTCCTGTAGTGTCCCTAAAACTGCCTAATTACCCTAACTCGCCCTGTGTCATATATATATATATATATATATATATATATATATATATATATATATATATATATATATAAAGATGTAAGAATATATGTAAAAAATGTGAGGCTGGAATATAAGGCTGCCTCTAATAATACGTGCCTGTTAGAATCTCAGGAATCTACACAAACGTTAGGTAAAAATTCGGAGCAAAAATTGGCCACTAAAGTGCTCTTTGACCTAACTGGGACCTTAAAATCCAAGGTCTTTAAAAAGTCGGGTCCAGCCTACCAACAAGTACCACCAACAAATCAGCACCTCAGAAGAATTTTCTAAGCGGAACAAAAACAGCCAGCACAGCGTCCAGGCGACAACCCCCCGGACCTGGTTGCTTGTGGAACGCGCACTTCCGGCGCGCGCAATCTAGGCTCCTGAAAAGCGCCCACCGAGGCTTTCTTTGCCTCAAGAATCCCTCGTACTACCCATACGCTGGCGCGAAGGAGAGTGAGTAAGTTTGGCCAAAAGAGGCCACCGTTGGGGGCGGGGTTACGCAGCCGCGTTGTGGCCCACGCAGTTCACGTGCCGGCAACATCTGCGGATGTTCTTCCTGGCGCTAACATGGCTCAGCCTCGGCCTCCGAACCTCAATAACGAGGTGAGCACCGGGGTGTGGCATCTCCGGGACACTTTTAGGGCGCTCGGAACAGCTCCTCTGTGTCCTTCCGACGGCGTGGGGTCTAGCCGGGGAGGTGTAGGGGGCGTGGCTGCAGGCGCTTCTAGCAAGGCTGGGGCGTGTTGTGCGAACTTGCAGCGTGGCGGCGGGGACACCCTGCGGGGTTTTTCTCGCTGAGTGGCTGAAACGAGAGACTTGTCTCTGGCCCTCCTGCCCCGTGAATTTTTGTCTGTGGGTTTTGGGGAAAATTGCTTTATCTCTACAGCCCACTGTCTTTGTAAAACGAGGCTCATGCTAGTACCTGCCTCTCAAAGTGGTTGTGAGAAATTAATTGGAATTTGTAAGTGTTTGCGAAGTGCTGACAGTAAATCCGCGGGACACTTTCCCTGAATTTGACTTTGAGAAGTGCCGGAATGGGATAAATAGCTTCAAAGAAGTTGCTGGTAAGGCTCACTTGGTTCTAAGGATGTACGTGCACTCATCACAGTTCTTCCTCCTGCTACAGGACATTTCTTTGCTTCATTTTACAGCAAAGAAAAAGCTGTTTATGCTTCTCTTCATGTTCTCTTCTCATTGTCTTAAATCTAATCTCATCTTGTTATAGGGCAGCCCCGATATTGAACGGGTTGCCTGGCTGTGGGTCCTCACCCGCATGCTTAAAAGGGACTTATTAATACTCCACTACAGGCACACACAAAAGGTTAATAAAAGGTTTATTTACAAGGGAAAAGGAAATAAGGAAAATGTACAACTCAGGGAGAAAATAGGGAAATAAAGTGTTTAATGTGTCCTACCCGATCCGACGACCTGGAAACCCAAAGGCACTCTCAGAGCTGGCCGGAAGCTGCTAGCTAGTGGAGAGCCAAAATGGGGGACCCCACCCCCCCAAACCCACGTGTCTGCCTTCATACCAACCTGGCTGCTTAACCCCACCCTCAGGTCCCAGCCGCCTTCCCTTTGGTGGTGATGGGATTTGGAGTTCCCAGTGTCTTTGGCTTTGGCCTGGGTGGGGGTGGAGTCCACAAAGCCTGTGTGGAATTAGCTTTAGGACATCCTTTTTCCCCTAACAATCTGACACTTGCCTTCATCATGTCCTCTACGTGTTAATGTTACCAGGCTGCCAGAAGCTCGGGAATCTACACAAACATTAGGTAAAAATTGGGAGCAAAAATTGGCCATCTAATTGGGACCTTAAAAACCAATTAGACTCTACCACTCTTCCTTCCCTTCGATTTTCTCCTTCAATTCAAAGAAGTGTTAAATCATCTGAGGAATTAAGTGAACTGGAAAAGTAAGGGTCAAATGAGAAACCCACAGCGCCAGCAAAGGAAGCGCTTTTATTCTCTTTATTCTGTGGAAGTATGTGTGTACTGTGAGCAAGGCACTGTCATATTATGCAGTTGTGTAAGTCACACTTTCAGTGTTCCAACTTAGAGACTCAGGTAGAATAAGGTAAGCAACAGCCACCTGTAACAGAGAATAAGGTATGATATAGAATAATGACCAGAAAAACTAGTAGTGCCAAAAAATTGCCTAAGAAACCAAAATCAAGTGATGACATTTGCCCTTGGTCTTTAAGGATTTCGCACAGGAGTTGCAGTCATTGATTCAACAAAGTATAAGAAGACCTATAAGTAGGGACACAGTAGTAGTAGAAAAACCGTTGGATGGCATAGGAATGGTTAATTCTCCATGAAGGACTAAAAGTGTGAAATAAGAAGTAAAACTGAAATATATTGCTACCTTACTGTCAGCTTACTAAATCTGAATTTCACTTGGCAGTGAAATACAGAATATTTTGAAGGGAATCTCTGAAGGTGTTTCATTCATAAACTTATGTTATATTTGTGCTAGTTGTACGAAATGTTTGATGTGATTTTTTTTCCCCCCCTGGGCTATAAAAGACCTTAATGAGATGCATGTCCTTAGGAATTTACCAGAAATACAAATGAGCTATCTGTTGAAAAATCAAATGAAATTACTGAGAGTAGTAATAATAGAGTTTACCACTGTTTCTTTAAAGCTTTTTTTCCCCAGCTAATTTCCAGACCTCTTCAAAATAGTTTAGATTTAACATTTAGAAGGTCTTCACTAATTCACTTATGGACTGAATGTTTATTCTTTTTACAGCCAGCATGCTTTCTACTCTGAAGACAATTATTTATCTGATTCTCTCTCTCTCTCTCTCTTGGTATATTTCTGTCGCCTGCAACATATATGTCATATATATTCTATGAATGTTTACTGGATGACTGAATAAACTTTGCAAATCAGGAGGTACAGTATATAATTCCGGCACTAAAGTCATATATATTCTAGTGTGAAGGTAGGGGAGAAGAGGGCAGACAAAAACAAATGATGAAAGGTCACAATTTAAGTTCATAGGGAGTAATACATTGAAATGAAAAACAAATTTGTCTGCATAAAGATTGCTAAACATCCCACAGAAAAGAAGAAGGAAACCAATTAGAAAAAACAAATACAACAGATAAAGGATTAATGTCATTATGATAAAGTAACTCATAAAAGGTAAGAGAAACTGTTGCATAGACATTTCTCCAGAGAAGAAATGTATCTCATAAAAACTTCATATTCACTATTTCAGGTCTTTGCAATACTTTTCCAGCACCACCCTTACCCTAGTCCTCACCACCGCTGTCTTAGTCTAAGTGTATCTCCCACCAGAACTATACTGTCTCTCCCTCTACCCAAACTGCAGCTGGGGCCTCTCTTGTTCCAGGCCTGAGAATGTGCTGTTGTTTGACCTGAAACCAGCCCTTTTCCTCTCATTAGTCCATTTTATGCCTTTTTGTCACTTTTTCAAGAAAACCATTCTTGAGTTTCATTTGCACCTTTTATGTGAAGGTCTTCATATACTTTTCCCTTTAAAATTTATAACAGTGCTTAATGTGTATGAGTGTGAAAGAAATTTTATCCCCTCCACCTGATTGGAAGATTTTGTTTACCATGGTACCCTCACCACCTATCTGTTGAGTGAACAGCTTGAGGCATCGTTTTTATGTTCCTTAATTTAATCTGGATCTTCTTAACTAAGACTCAGAAGTGTATACTAGAATTACTGAAATTTTGCATAAATTGATGTTTATATGTCTATCTCTGTGAGGGAAAGAATCCATAGATTTTATTAGATGTATGAAAATTAATAAATCTTTAGTATTATTTTTGGGATATTGGTACTCATTTATTTGATTGAGATTCTTGTTTTGTAATTTTTAGTAGTTGCTTTTTGTGACCATTTTATTTAGAATATATTTAATTTCTGAGAATGTCTTCTGTGAAAATGAAAACCTGTGTACATAGGCTTCCATTTAGATGATGTTAACTTTTAATTCTTCTACCCCAAATATTCTGTTCTTTTCAAGGTTTTTCCAAGAATAAAAAACTGATATTTGTAGAAGTTCCTGAATCAAGGTTGTTAAAATGTTTTCTTCTGAACTAGTATAAAGTATTACTTTTTTAAAAATAAACCATCACATTTTTCTCCATCTTATGATTATTTGTTGCATGTTTTATCTTTACTAGTACTTTATATGGACTTGAAGAGAAAGAATATTTAACTCACTTAATACAGCAACTTCTCTAACCTCTTGCCATTATACCTCATTGATAGAGGTAATTGGTAAATAATTGTTAGGCAGATGAAAGTGTGGACAGCACAATTTGAGTCACCTAAATGTTCAAATAAATAGGAAAAGTTCCTACTTTTTCCCCTCCTTTTCTGTTGGAACCAGAGAAAATTTCAAAACCATAAGTGAGTAGTTTGGAAACTAGAGCTGTATTTCCTCTGGTCATTTGTTTCTGTAGCAGTTATATGAAAAATCAGAATTAGATGAAACAATCTAATGAAATATTTTAATTCTATAGGAGGTAAAGGGCTTTATAGAAAAGTGCCATTATTTTGTTCTTCATAGAAAATTACCAAGAAAATTGTTGGGTTTTTTAATTTAAAAAATTTTTTAAAGATTTATTTATGCATACAAGAACTGTGGTACAGTCCAGAAGTGCAGGGGGTGAGAGGATTCACCAGAGACAGAGTGGGGAGCAGAACAGGTGGATCTACTGAAATACACTGCTGAGGGGAGCAGCAGGCCAGACAGGAGAGGTCTGCTGCGCCATGTGGGTCAGCTCCCTGGCCAGGGATCGAACTCCTGCTGCAGTGCCCAGTACTGAGACTTAATCCCTTGTGCCACCAGGGAGGCCCAATTTTTTTTTAATTTCCTGTAAAATAATAAAAGTGGGAATTCAGGTGCTAGAGAACAAAGTAGCTTGCCTCCAAATATTGTAAAAGAAAAATGTCAAGAACTGTGTACTTCTGAAATTATTGAATACAAAGCTCCTATTTTGTATTTGAGGATATAGTACTTTTTAATAATTTTTACTGAAGTAGTAAATCAGAGTCCCTCCCTAAGAAGAGAACCATTTCTGTTTGGTTGTTCAAGTATTCTGGGAAGTTTTGCTAGGTGGCAGCATATGCACAATAATGATTACGTTGTAGATAATCACGATTTTTTTTTTTAATTGTTGCTCATTGGAAATAAAAATATAATTCAACAATAAGTCATCACCCAAATAGCCAAATTAAAAGTGTTATCTGTAAAATTTTGACTGCTTTTGTTAACTGTGAAATAGTTTAAACAAATGGGAAATCACATAACAAATGTCAATATTTTGCCATGTTGTAATGCTTAATTCTTCCCACCTTCTTTTTCACTACAGAAGTAATGATGACTCTCATGGTGTGTATTTTCTTTGTTTTTTTCATGATTTTACTACATTCATGTCCAGTGTATAAAAGTGTGTTGTATTTTTTCCACCTTTGCATGTTTGATATCATACCTTATAAATGAGGTATCATACTACAGAAATGATGCTGAAAAGTTAATTTTTTTACCACACATTATTTTCAGGGTTCATCTATGATAATACATGCATATATCTTGCATTGGTTTAAAACACTGCAT